GGGGGGGAGAGGTGCAGCAGCGCTGGCTGGGGGAGATCAAGAAGAGGAACAGGCCGACTGACCTGGGCACTTGCTGTCTGTCCCACGCAGGCTCCTGGCAATGCACGAGCAAGGAGGAGGCTTCCCCTCCTCCTTACACTCAACCGACTGAGGGCTCCCGGCAGCAATCGCGGCCCCGCCTCCCAGCTTGGGACTGTCAGCCGCTCCCCCCACCGACGCCAGGCTTCCGTCCAGTACGCAGCCGGAAAAATCAGAAAATACTGGACATTGCACGTGTCCAGTATTTTCTGATTTTATTTTTACCGAACAGAGAGCACAAATACTGGACTGTCCGGTACAATACCAGACACCTGGCAACCCTAGGGAGCGCTGCTCTGGGCTCCTAGAAAAGGCAGGGTGTTGGCAAGTTTAGAGACTAGCCTCCCCCAGGCAGATCTCAGTGCTGCCCAGACTGCCCTGTGCAAGGCTCCAGCAGCAATTTAAAGGGCCCGATGTTCCTACTGCTGCTGTAGTAGCAGTGGCAGCCTGGAATCCTGGGCCATTTTAAATTGCTGGGCCCTGGGGCAACTGCCTCCTTCCATCCCCTCCCCCCAGTTGGCAGCCCTGCACTTAAACAATTTGTCAGGTCAAGATTTTTTTAGCTTTACATACCCACCTTATTGAATCCTTCAGAGCTTTATTTTTAACAATTCACTGTGTTTGGCCTTGTGTACAGGGGAAAGTTATTTCTGCATAAAGTAAAGAGGTGAATTTAAGCTCTCTCCGCTGCATAATGATAATTCCCTGAATTAAATGATGCTTATTCTAGGATAAGAATGTATTGTTCTGGTTTATTTTATGTTGCTTTGGAAGGTGTTCAAGCTAAACTGAAAAAAATCTACTCTTATTCCAAAATTAGAATCTCCACACCAGAGAGTTACAACATACAATTAAAATAGTGATAGAGATGCAGCCGTGTTAGTCTGGTGTAGCTGAAACAAAAGACAGAATTATGTAGCACTTTAAAGACTAACAAGATGGTTTATTAGGTGATGAGCTTTCGTGGGCCAGACCCACTTCCTCAGATCAATATGTGATTACCTCACAGAAACTTCCCTTATTATCACCCCTATGTCATTACCTCACAGAAACTTACCTTTCCCCCTCACTCCCACTCTGTTCTAAAATTTGATTAGTTAGTTTCACATGCGTTCATTTTTTTGATTGTATCACTTTTGTATATATGGTTGTGCCGATTTTCTTCCACATATTGATCTGAGGAAGTGGGTCTGGCCCACGAAAGCTCATCACCTAATAAACCATCTTATTAGTCTTTAAAGTGCTACATAGTTCTCTCTTTTGTTTCAACATACAATTAAGGCAGCATAACTGGAAAATATTCCCATATGAGCAAGCTTTAATAAAAAAAAATGAAAAATTTACTGCACATGCAACATCTGCTCCTAAATTAATATACTTTACCTTGTTGTGCAAAATAACACAGTGTAAATAGCCTCGCCTTTAACAGCAGAGTGAAGTCCCTCCCCCGCCAGAAGAGTTCATGCTGACCATGCTAGTAGATGACGTCCTTTTATTTAGCCACAAGTATAGCACAGAGAGCCACAGCACAAGGTTTTCCAAATTACCCATTGCATATTAAAATCAATACATTCTTCTTAAATGTGTTTGCACCGTAATGCCTTAGACCTTTCTAGGGCCATTGAAACTTTTGACTTCCATGCAAAAACTGTTAATATCAAGTGAGTCGAGTGCTGTAAAACATCAAGCATTGTTTTTTCTTTAGATGTGGAAACAACTATAGAGCATTTATTTTTCCAAAGCTTTCATGCACAATAAGGTGGTTTTAGTTTTTTAGAAGATTATTTTTAGCCTTCATGTTGTATATTCTTGTTTTCAAATGAATATGTGATCACCCATTAAGTCTGTTTTTAATAAAAAAAAATCCATAAAACTTAAAATCAATACATTTTTCTTAAAATCAAATTCAACAGTGTATTTGCACAACTTTGTCTTCTACTATTTGGCTTGCAATTGCAAAAATTGTAAACTGTTTTTCTCTCTTCTCAGTAAACTGTCGAAAATTGCAGCTCAAGTTCCTCTTCCTTTATCTGTAGCTGTGGTGGCCTTTGGACCAATGCATTTATACAGAGTACCATACTTTGTAATCTTTTCTCTTCTTTTACATGTGTTATGTTGCATTGTATAAACCTTTAGTTTCCCAAATGAAAGTGGAAAAGCTGTGTAGCTCAGAAATGGATGCTGGAAAAAATGCAAAGTTGGACAAAGTAATGTCCAGATCAGTGTAACAGCAAATCAAAATCATTTGGAGAAGATGACACAGTTGTGAGCACTTCTTATGAAGTTTGGGGTATATGGAAATCTCAGAAACCTTCTTGTGATATTAGTGTACCAATCTGAAAAATTGATAAAAGAATTTCAGTATGTTTCTGGACATAAAAATCTCATTTCATATTAGCATAACACTTCAGAGTTCTAGATTTCAGGAGGCCGACCATTCTGTATCCACTGCAGACATTTTGATATTTCTGTTGACATTTGGTATGATATTTCTGTTGTCAACTGATTTTCTTTTGAACCTGTATCTTTTTGTTGATTAAATTGTGATGGGAAGAATTCACAAATGATTGAAAGTGCACTGTGTCACAAACACTGAATAGCCAAGAATACTTTTAATCACACTCACAAGCTGTCACAATTTTCTTTTTTCCTGTATCTATACAAACTAGAATGTATTGTGTCTACTGATATGTTTTTTCTAACCAATCAAATATTTTTATCAGTGTCTATGACACCTGTGTGATTATTGAAAGTGTTTTGGTGGCTTATAAACTTTATCTTTTGTGAGAGTGCTAAAACTATATATACACTGTTGCCTTCCATTCAGGAAGCATATCATAGATTCATACACAATTTTTGTAACGTTTTAAAACAAAACTGACACATTCTGAACCTGTGCCAGAATGCCAGTAATAGTGGGAAATGCTATGATGTGTTAATCAGCCATTTAAAGTCACATCTGAGACTGTGTCTGCACAGCAGCATTATTTCAGAATAAGTGACATTGTTCTGAAATAACAAAGAGCATGTCTACACCGCAAGCCATTATCTCGAAATAATGGCAAGCTGAAAGACTTCTTACGCCATCTCCTGCAACTCTCATTCTATGAGGAGTAAGGGAAGTCAAAGGAAGAGAGTTCTTCCTTTGACTTCCTGCAGTGTAGACGGTGCCACAAGCTGAATTAAGTTATTTCAATTTAAGCTATGTGATTGATGTAGCTGAAGTTGTGTAGCTTATTCCGACTTTAGCTCTGCTGTGTAGATGTATTGCCACGATCCTACAGTGACTGGCATTAAAATACCTAAGATAAATATCTGTAATGTGTGGTAAATCACTCCCTTGGTGTAAGTGTTTTCAAACAAAAATTGTCCACGAGGCAAAAATGATCTATAATATTTGTAATTCTGATTAGTTGTTTCTAAACAGAGATGAATCAGTGTATCTTATCTCTTATTTATGTGTATTTTATCTATCGCTAGTATTTCTGAGGCACCTGTCACCTTAATATCAAAACACTATTTGATAGCTCTCTTTTTTTCTGATCTTGTCTTAATATGAATAGTTTGAGGAAATTCAATAACGATAGTCAAGCTGTAGCATATGCTCCGTGCAACAGTAGAGCATAATAAATTTTTTCTGTTGTATTGCATCATTCTTGCCTGAAGTGCCTCAGCAAATTCTGGCTTGTTTTTAAGAATCATTTAGTTGAGCTGGACTTTTCAACTGAAAGTGTGAAGTGACATGACATTCTGCAGTACTTTACTGTTTGTCAGCTCATAAAGAAACCAGCAGTCCAAACTAGCAGTGAACCCATATGACCGCTTTAAATATGAATAAGAAAACAGTAGCTAAAAGTGTTACTGTTATCTGTAATGTATATGTTGATTTTCTAATCTTAACATTTATATAATGCTAGACTATTCTTAATTTTTGTAAGTCAGAAAACGTCTTTGAACAAACTATGCTCTGGAATCTGCCCAAATGTATGCTACAGTATATATGTACGTGACACAAATACTCATAGTGTGCTGTATGTATTTGTATCCAAATTATTTAGTCCTTTACCCTAAAACCTCATATTCAAATAGGGAATAGAGTAATAGTATTTCTAGTTTAGGATAATTGTGTAACTTGAGAGAGAGAATAGCAGAGCCATGTAGAGTTTTCTGTAAGCCATTTCAATCAAGTGACAGCTATTTATCCTAGGTTGGTCTTCCTTGCTGCATATTGTACGGTATTTCTATCATAGAGACTGATTTTTGCTACTTTGACTCTACACTAAGTAATACTTTTATTCTTATTTATGCTGTTGCAGCAGTTAGATACCTATAAATATTTACCTCCTGTTTGAACTTAGCCAATTTAACTTCCAAAACTATCTCTTTTAAGCCCTCATCTGCTAGATAAGATATCCCATTGTGGTCAGACAGGCATGTGGAAGTTCTCATGGACTGTGATTATATTGTCTCTTAACTTTCTTTTGAATGAGCTAAATAAATTGAGCTCATTTACTCTTATTATAAAATGAGTTTTCCAGGCCAAATCATTCTTGCTATCTTCACATCACATCAAGTTTTTCAATGCCCTTTTAAAGAATAGATACCAAAAGTGGACACCGTATTTCAACAATGGTTTCACCAGTGCCTTATATAGAAGTCAAAATCACCTCCCTTCCTGTTAGTAAAGCACTTCTATGAATGAGAATAAAATCCATCTTTATGCTTATTTCTGTTTATTATGGCCGCCTGTGGGTACATACAAAATTTATAATTCATAAACTATCATCTAAATAGCATATATTAAGATATTATAAAAATTACAATAAAATATTACCCTATTTTAAGTAAACCATTCATTAAATAGCAACAGTAGACATGTATTTTTACTACACTGTCAGATTTAACATACTCGCTCTCTCAAAATGAGAATTCATGAAAGTCAAACCCAGAATGTTACTATGTTTTTTCTAAGATAAAAATCTGAGCTGTTGCTATCCCAAACCACCATCATAGGGAATGGATGAAACACCTTTCACATTAAATAGAAATTACACTACTCTCTTACATTTATTAAAGTCTATGCTTATCGGGTAGTCAGCTAATTGCTTACATCCCTAAGTTTGTATAAGGTATGACAGGGAGAAACCAGATGGCTACCAGAAAGTAATAAAAGACAGAAATATTAGCCCTAGGCTGAACAAATCCCTGTTGCCATGGCAGCCAAACAGTCATTACGCCAGTTAATTAAGATACCTTGTGACAAAGCTCCTAATTTCACATGGTGGGTCCTGCACTTCTGGGTAGCAGTAGGCTGAATTTTATCCCCATCGGAGGAAAACGGTAGCTTCTTGGCTGATTGCTCACCTCAGTGATTCACTATAGGCTCAGTCTAACTTGTAGTCTGATTTAGCCACTTATCATTGGCACATCAGGAGAAAAGGGAAGGGGCAAAATCTCTTTGTCTGTAATGGCTTCTCCAGACTTGAAGGCAACAGAGTAGATTTCTTATCTTGGTCTCTCCCCCTCTAGTAGGGGTTTTCCTCCCTCAGACTTCTGGAGAGTAACGGCTTTTTCTCAGTCAGCGCTCTCCCTGTTCCTCACCTCTGTACCCGATAGCGGCTCTACAATTCCTGAACTCCTACAGTACATCCTTCTCACACCACTCCTGGCCTGCACCACTAAACAGACTAAAGGGGAAGCTTTTAACCAGTTTAAGCCAGTCTTTGTTTGGTTCCCAGTGTCCCAATCAAACCTAACTGTCTCAACTGAGTTCCTTTTAAAGATCCTATGATTTAGAATGAGAGTCCCTGTATTTAAAATGGGGACAAGGGGTAATCTTTTAAACCAGCACAAATTTAAGTGCACCCTGTGTCAGGGAATCCAGTTGACTTTATGAAAAATGGTAAATATAACTATGATCCTGGATTAATATACTATGTTTCAATATTTATTAAACAATTCTTAGTATATGATATGTGGAATATGTTTTAAAATTTTTAATTGGATTCTGTTTCCAGTTTATTCTTATAATTTAGGATACATTCTCCCCTCTTATGGTCGGATGAGAGCAAGCAGTCTGAAAACTGAGTTATCTTGTGGTATTTTAGGGGCAATCTCTGTACTTGAGATGAAGATAGCTGTTGACATAGAGGAGAATTAAGGCCAAGGAATTAGACTGTCCCAGGAAAATCCTGTCCTGTAATAGACTAGGGACTCTCACCTCCTTGACAGCAGAGACAGGGAGAATCAAAACCAGGACAGGAACAAAATTAAGTAATTTTAATTAACATACTGTAGAAGCAACATATTGCATATGGGCTATAACCAGAACTTTTAAATAAGGTATAACCAGAATAAATTCCAGTGTCCTCAACTGTTCTTGATGTGATGTTTTTTTCTTGTCAGTGACATGCATTTTTTTGCCTTATTGTCTTGCTATCCTGTAATGATTAGTATTTGCTTTGTAGCTTCCAGTTCATCATGTGACCATAGTGTGTGATGCTGGAAAGAACTCATACCATCTCTGTTATGAGCTGAGTTTTTTAAACTCATGTACCTCAGAGTTGAATGAATATTGACCACAAGTGTGGGATCATTTTTATTCAAAACAAAACTGGATTTCTGCCAGTTGAGTGTCAGCATCATCCTAAATAGGGGTTGTGTGGGACAGTAGTTTAATAATAATAAAAAAAAAGTAGCTGGAGTGTCATTTTGAACTGTTTTTAATATGCAACAGTTCAATTTTTAGTGTTTAGGGTACTGATTCAAATAGCAAGCTTTTTACATGGCAAAATGCATGATATAGTAAAAAAAGGATTGTGAAATAAACTAAAAAAAATCTATAGTACACGGTAGGAAAAATTGAGAGTGCTAAGTGATAACATAAAATGGAATATCTGCTTGGGACTGAACAAAATGTAAGTTAACCCATCCAGACTACAGATGAGCAGTCATATTAAAAGTTATTGTTAAAAAAAATTAGTCTTGATAACATCAGATTTACGTATTTTATTTACAGGTTTAAAAAGTTACTGGTTATATTAGTACCATCTTAATACAAAGTCTGTTTTTCTGCCCCATTGCCGGTAATAAACATCTCAAATGCCAAGTGACAATTCATAATATTTGATATATTTGCTTTCTAAATTTTGACAGGAGAGTATAAATATAGTTCTAGTGTCTGAACAGGTTTAAACGTTTATGAAGAACATATCTGCTGATCAGATGTTTTAGTAAGATGAAGCACTCCTTGTACATTTGGACCTCAGTCTTACTTAGGATGAGAGAAAAAGAGTCTAGCCATGTTATAGATATGAAATCCTGCAGGTTAATAGAACTGCAGTCTGCTTTTTTGAGTGTATTTATATAATAATACTGCTGCTACTGTTATAAATTGTTAAACTACTAGAGAACTGTTAACTACAAAACAGCCTAAGATCTTTAGATTCATTTTATATTTCATGTTAAATATTAGCCATTTTATATTTCATGTTAAATAGTAGACTTTTGTTCAGTTTTACATCCCATTTTTGGAAAAGAAGTGAGCTAGTTTTTATAACACTTGAGCACTGTGTTGTAAACTGTTTTAAAAAGTTGATTACTTTAGCAAAACATGCACATTTGCCACCAAAGTTATATAAAACCGTTATATACCTCTTGATATGTGTGCCAATTATCTACATTTAACAAACAAATCCATACTGGACTAAACAAAATCAAGTTTTTCTACTTAATTTTTTTAAACTGGAACTTTAAGTAGCATTCAAAAAGAATGAGTATTTAACCTTTTCAATTGTAGTACTTTGATATATTTTCTTAATGAAAGAATGCAATTGAAGTTCGTAATTTAAAGAGTTCTATCTATTTTAAAGTTTAAACTAAACAAAATGTATAAAGTTGTGCTTTGGAACAACCCTTACTATGGTACTTCTGTTTTCTATTAATTTTCAAATGTCTTTAGAAAAAATTCAGCAGCCTTTAGACAAGCATATCTGCTTAGGCCCTCAATTCTGTAAAGTACTCGTGTATATTACTTCCAGAATTGAGGCCTAAATAAGAACTCTGGTCCCTTTTTTGGATTTAGACTTATATAGGTAGTCCTGACTCATGAGTAATCCTGCTTTACACTCTGATCTTGCATGCATGTCTGCATGGGCACAAGGCCTGACTGTGTGGCACTTCTTGCAGGAGCAGAACCATAGAGGATTTATGCCAGTAAAGATTTGCAATATTCTTCCCTAACCCCAAAGCATAATTGTGCAAACGCTATTGAGCACTGTGTTCACAGTAATAAATGCTATAACTAATATCTTAAGCGTACGCAGGATTGGTACATTAGAATCAGTGTATTAAAGCTTTGTGTGTTCATCAAAATACCAATAAGAATTTTTCTTTTTTCTCAAACTAGTGAGAATTTCTGTATTATAAATCTGAAAAAATGTATCCAGCATTTTGATTTTTTATATTAAGTTCTATTGCAGCATATGATAATTAGCTATTGTATTTTGGTAGAAATTCAAACTTTAATATTCTTTTATGTAGCTGCATTTTGAGAACAATATTGGAGATACTTCACTAACTGACAACTATAACATTACAGCACTCTATAAATTATAAAAATTACATATATAAGTAGAGTGCCTAACCAAACTGAAAATGAATTATTTTCTTACTGTGATTTAAAACACACAGTTTTGTGGGGCAAAACAATGTGCCTTAAAAAACTAAATGAATGCACTGCAGTTCTAGCTGGTAAACATCTGTAGCCTTTGATTACATTGTGAAACTCCGTTTGAAATTGGACAAAGAATTTTTTAAAAATATTGATCATAAATGCAACTTGTTGGGGTTGCAGGAGAGAAAGATGTTAAGTTTCTTATTTTCCCTGTGTTAGCTATGGCTTTCTCAGAGATCTACACTATTTTTAAAATAAAACTAATTTTTCTTTACATTGGTCGCTTTGAATTCAAACCTTAAAGTGAGGAAATTCAGAATAGTTGTTTACATTAATTCCTGAATTCTTTCCATTGTGATAAAATAGATAACAAGAAAGAATTATAAGCCTCAGAAACATGTCTTGTTTTTTGGGTCACAATTCTAATATTTTATAGAAATGTCATTATAAGAAGATTTTATTTTCCCCTACAAACCTTACCTATATCTGTAGAGAACACAAAGCATTGTACGCAGTTAATATCTGGGCCCATTAACAATGGTGGAAATCACAAACAATTTTGGAATTTTTATAATTTCCAGATGGCTTAATTGACTTTGATAAAAAAAAATTCTGACAGTTTGAGATCTTGTATGGTCAATTTAAACTCGGTGTGAATGTTTTTGGTGGAGTTCACCCCTGCGGTTACAGATTCATAGAAATAGTTGACAGGTCTTAACTAGTTCTGTGAATGTTGAGGCTATAATCAGTTATTGTTCTTTGAAAAATCAATTACAATAATTTTTATAAACATACTTTGTGTAATATATGATCAATATAAATGTTTAGGGTCCGTGAAGTGTGGAATATTCCTTGGAAGATAAGTAAGTATCTTTCTGAAGTCAGTGAAAAGTCATAGCTCGCAGCATCTCGCAAAATTGTTCTCTTGAAGACCAGTCCTTTTCCTATTGAGATCAGTGGGAGTTAGGGTTGAATGGGAACTCACTTGGAACCTTCCTGTACCATGTGAAGGGTCTATTCTCTGTAGTATATATTTCTAATGTAATTGTTACTTGTCTTTTCCACAAAAATATGCATCACTTTGGAGTACTTTGTCCAGCATATATGCTGTATTAAATACACATCTTATTTTTGTGTGTAATTTTTGTATGGTGTACTAACACTTGTATTAATATACATTGTTGTAATTTACAAAAAGTGCCACTTATTCATCATACTGTGTGTAGACTAGTGTAAATGTTATGTATATTTTTACTTCACAAAAAGCTGTTGGGCATAGTGGTGAACATTTGCCTTCTGTCTTTGCTCAGGTATTAATGTGGATCTGTTTAGTGCTTTTTTTTTCTAAATTGTAATACTTGTACTCTTAAGTATTCAGAAGGTAAAATAAAAAGAAAACGGTGAACAAAAAAAGTTTGTGTTTTAATTGTTTGTTCCAACCTAAACAGTATTTGGCCTACTTGGAGACAGTAATTGTACTCTGCATGGATTCCAAAATGCCAATTTATGCTTAGCTATTAGGCACATATCTTCCTAAATTTCATAAGGGAAAGCATCATAGCCTGAGATGATGTATGATGAAAAATCTAATTATTCTTTCCTCACTTCCAGTCTGTATTCTTCCTAACTATAACTTTCACATAATATTTTCTTGTATGTCAGTATAATTGTAATTTTCTTGCCTTCCCCTTAGCAGCCATGGGACCCGGGGATATGTTTTAGGGATGTTAAATAGCGGTTAGTAAGCTAATTGAGTAGTCGATGGACTTTCCATCGACTACTTGATTAATTGATAAGAAGGTATGCTGCAATTCTGCTTTATAAATGTAGTAAGAGCCACAGCAGTCTGGCATTAGGTGTGATCCATGGCAGTTGTCCTGGCTCGCGCCCAGTTCCTGACACTGCGCTTCTGATTTTTAAATGTAATAAGAGCCACCCGACTTGTGCTGGGTCCCCTGCTATGCCTCCGTCTCCTGTTCCCCCCTCCTCTGGAGACGGTGCTGGGGGAACTGGCTTTTAAGCTCCCCTCTCCCTTGCTGCCTCTGATTCAAAGGCAGTAAGTAGGGGGAAATGACTAGTTGAGTAGTGACTCGACTACCCGATAAGCCTAGGCTTGTTGGGTAGTTGACGACTCAACTAGTCACTTACATCCGTAGTAAAAGTTTAGGTTTATCAGGGCTATTCCCCACTCTGGCACTCTGAGTGCAAAGATGGGGACTGCAAGCAACCTTAAATACCTTGCCTCTATAGGCTCTGCTTACAAAAACTCCCTAGAGTCACAGATTCACCGACTTTGAGAAAAAACAAAAGCTGCCACCATCAAGTGATCTAATCCTGAGAAAACAAGAGGGAACCCTTGCATTTCTTCCCCAGGGGTGTCCCAAGAGAGCTTGAATAAAAGAGAAAACAAGCTGCAGTCTCTGGTAGCTGACTGTTTAGTCTTAGACAGCCAGACACACACGCCGACCTCCTGTTTCCTTCCAGGACTCAAGAATCAAATAATTGCCTTAGAAAAAGGAGGTTTTATTAACAAAACAAAAAGATATACTTGATAAAGCATACTCGGTTACTAGGTGTTACAGAGCAACTGAGTAAAACAAATTAAAACACAAGGAACATCTCTTAGGGTGCATCTACACAGCAGGACATAACTCAAAATAAGCTGTGCAAATTGAGCTACGTCATTTGCGTAGCTTATTTAGAAATTGGGAGTGTCTACACAGCACTTATTTTGAAACAGAGCACTCTTCCTCCGACTTCCCTTAGGCTTCATACGAGGGGAGTAAGAAGTCCTCAAGCTTGACAGTATTTCAACATTATTTCGAAATAACTGCCTGCTGTGTAGACTCAGAGTAAGTTATTTCGAAATAATGTTGCTGTATAGATGTATCCTTAGATAGTGAATGGGGGATGGAAAGCATAGGTTAACATAGAGAAATTTAACCAAACTACCAAAACAAAGAAAAATACCCTGATCACAACTAAATATTCTTTTTTCTTCTACTCATGATCCGTGCTGATCCGTACTTCAAGGCCCAGTTCACTACCACATCCAGTATTTCTTCATAGGCATGGTAATTCTGAGTACTGCATTTGCTCCCTCCAGCCTTAACTTAGAATCCACAAAGGAAGAGCAGACCAGGTATCTGTATCCAATCCAAATTTCAGCACCATATCCCCATTGGTTCTTTCAGCCCTCTACCAACATCCTTGCTCGCTACCTGAGTTTAACCACTTACTTACCAGGTGCTGGCCAGAGCTTCTATCCATCACAAGGTTCATAGAGTGATTTTGTTGCCATTTGGTAGGCACCCAGTGCAATTACTAATTCACTAAGTGGTCTGGCTCCCTGACAAACTGGAATTGGAAGGGGATTAAGAGAAGCAATTCCTAAAGAAGGTGAGCAATTTGTTAGGCGCTCCTAACCCCCTGGTGCACAGGGGAGACAATCCCTTCTTCCTGATTCCTCCCTTCATGCTCAGAGAAGGAGGAAAGTATTGGGACCTCAGCAGTGGTACTAGGACCAAGATAATGTGGTGGAGAGTTGTCTGCGTCCCTTCACGTGACAGAATGGAATACAAAAGGAGGATGACTGCACCAGGCACAATATTGCTGAATAGTTCTCAGTTGTGTTCCCTAATAAATGTTTTATCTTTGTTCTCTCCAGGACACCACCTGCTCTGTTTTGTTGTTCCCTCCTCTACCCCAAGATCATTGCTCAGGAACATTTGGGGTTGGTTGGTTTGGCTGAGGGTGGTGACTAAAGGATTACAGAAGTGACTTGCATGGTCGTAAAAGCTGACAACATCTGCAAGTGTTGTCTTAGCTTCAGGCATTTTTATCTAACTTCAGTGAAGTTTAATTCAGATACACATTAATATTCAAATTATGTACTGTGCACATAATTAAATTATGTACTGTGCACATCTTCAGTTAGGCAGGGAGATGGCCATTTATGTATATTTGCTGAAAAAAGCACAATTTGAATTTAGGCACATTTTGTTAGCTGGAAAGCATTTGTGAAATCACTCTCCTCATAGATATAATTTTATTTAATGAATATAATTGTACTAATAGTATTCAATTCTGAAATATGACCTATTTATGGCTGAGTTTATTGAAAGAGCTGCCATGGAATTATCTTTCAAAAACATGCTTTTGGTTGAAAAAGAGTATTGAGCCAAAACTAAATAGCTATGTCTAGACTGGCATGATTTTCCGCAAATGCTTTTAACGGAAAAGTTTTTCCGTTAAAAGAATTTGCGGAAAAGAGCGTCTAGATTGGCACGGACGCGTCTAGATTGGCACGGAGGGAAGCTCAGCCCCCCGGTGGCCCCCCACCCACAGGATCCCGGTCTGGCTGGCACCTTCACATGTCTGCTTCTCCCTGGACTGTGGGGGTAGTGAGGCTCCCCCCTGCAGGAATGGGCCCACTGGCTAGGGCACACATGGCCTTGATCCAAGCACATGGCCTTTGAGCCAAGAACTGTCACTCTCAGCTCAGAAATGAAAGCAAGGCTTAAGGCACAGTCTCTGCTGGGATGACTAACAGTCTCTCTGTTCTCCACAGCTGGACCAAGTGCAAGGGGGGTGGGGTGGTCGACACCAACCGGGGCAGCATCCTGACCCCATGAGACTCGCCAGTGCAAGAGAACCAGGGACAAGTTGCAGAGGGAGCACCTCACGGCACTCTGATCCATGGAACAGACCCTGGACCGCAGAAAGACATCCAGCCACGGTGAGATATCTGGAGCAGGGCTGCACCATGTGCACGGCAGTTCAATCCCTGATTGCCAGCATGCTGTCTGCTCCCACTTCCGCTCCCCCCACAACCACTCCATGGCTGCTGAGGCCCCTGCATCCATGGTGGGGGAATCACCAGAGCCAGGTGCCATTGCCAGCCCTGATCCTCTCTGCCCCCTTCCATCTGCTTCCTCCCCCCCCCCCACAAGCCTCTCATCCCCCTCCTTTCTCCCTCTTTCTCCCCCCCCCCCCAGGTTCTTTCCCATCCCAGTTACTTTGATCTCAAATAAAAAGCAAAGAGTTTATTTTTTCCAAAACAAATTGTCTTCTATTGTCTCTGCAGGGTGTGGGAGGAAAGGCAGAGAGAGAGGGTACACAGGCCTCTGGTGGGGTGGCCCAGGAGAGAGTGTAGGGCTTCATGAGCCAGGGCAAAAGAGAGAAGGGTGGTGTCCCCCACCATGCACATGTCCAGCTTGGTGTGCAGCTTCTCATGACCTGCAGAAGGAGAGACAAAGAATCACAGGGGTGCTAAGGCCCTCAGGAGGTTCCCCTTCCCCCCAAGCAGGAGCAACCCCCAACTTACCCCATCCCCTGGCAGGGCTTTGTGAGGATTGGACTGCAAATCCTCCCAGGGAGGAGGCTTGCAACCCCACCCACCACCTCCTTTTCCCTAGAGAACCCCATTCCTGCAGTCCACCCCTCTCCTGGGACGATAGCTGGAGAGCACCATAGATGCATGACCAGGGCCCCAATGGTCAATCTCCCCATGCCAAACTGATTCCTGTCAGATCGGTAGCTGGCTGGCATGATGAGCTTCCAAAGGGCAATGGTGACCTGCTTATGCAGGGGGATAGCGGGTCTCATGTGAGTGTCCCATTGCCTGAGGGCAGGGGCGAGCCATGCTCAGAGCTCCAGAAAGGTGTCCTTCCTCATCCTGAAATTCTGGAGCCACTGCTGGTCCATGATGAACCAGTCCCACTAGTTGGAACAGGTATCCAGATGCCAGAAGTGGGAGGGGAGGGGACGGGAGGGCAAGTGGGATCCAGCAGCATGAGCTGTGCCCACGAAGAGGTGATGAGGGTCTCCAAAATAATCAGAGGGTTAGGTTCTTGTAGGGCCTGGGCGGCAGCCTGCAGAAACCACTGTGAGGGATGCAGCACAAGCTGCAATAGCCATTGATTGCCCAGAGGCAGCTCTAGCTCCATAGCTGGATAACTGAGGTGTCCACAAGGGCAACCACAGCAGGCAGAGGAACGGGTTTGTTGTCTCTTGAGGAGGTAGGTAAAGCAAAATGAAACACGACTGTACGGGGGGAGGAGGGGAGGAATCCCTTTAAGCACAAGCCTCAGGCAGCAGCCACAGGAAGTGAGTGCTGTCCTGATGCCCTGCCCGGAGTGCTTCTAGGTGGTCTTAAATGTGATTCAGTGTCCAATGAGGGTGGACGTTCTATTTCGAAATAGCAATGCGCATTTGGTATGTAGACATGCTATTTCACAATAGAATATTTCTTCCAGAATAACTTATTCTGAAATGAATGTGTCATGTAGACATAGCCTGAGGGATTCCACTTGATATATCCTCCCACTTGACTGTGAACCATTGATAACTATTCTCAGGAAATGGTTTTCCAGTTTTGCCACTCACCTTATAGTAGAGCCTTCTAGGTTATATTTCCCTAGTTTGCTTATGAGAAGTTGAAGTGAGTATCAAAAGCTTTACTAAACTAAAATAAATCACTTCTCCCCACCCAAAAAGCTTGTTATCTTGTCAAAAAGCTAGTATGTTAATGTTACATGATTAATTCTTGACAAATCCATGTTGACAGTTACTTATGATATTAATGTCTTCTAGGTCTTTGAAACTAATTGATTGGTCATTTACTCCATTATCTTTCCAGGTACTGAAGCTTTATTGACTAGGCTGTAATTCTTGTGGTTGTCCTTAATCTCCTTTTTATAGATTGGCAATATTAACCCTCTTCTAGTCCTTTGGAATCTCTCCTAGCCACCATGAATTTTCAAAGTTAATTGCTAATGGTGCACATATCTCCTCAATCAGCCCCGTTAAGCATTCTATGCCCTGCATATCTCTTAAATCTTTCACAACTAAAACACTGTCTGTGTCATCAGTCTTACTGGAATATTTACAGTGACTGTCATGGTCTTTGGATCAGGAACATACATTGGCTAAAATACAAATTATTAATATAACATATTTATCTGCCATGATATAAGTAGAATTGATCAACATCAAAGACAAAAATTACTGACTTTAAGTCCTGTCATTAGGGTTACAAGCTTCAATGTTATTGTCAATATATTTTTTTTAAAGCTCACAGATATTTCTATAGTAATTACCTTACACACATTTTACCCAATGGCCAGTGAGCAACGGCTTGGTGTCTGGTAGATGGTCGGTTTCTAGTGGAGTGCCCCAAGGATCGGTTCTAGGGCTGGTTTTGTTCAACATCTTTATTAGTGACCTGCATGAGGGAATGGATTGCACCCTCAGCAAGTTTGCAGATGACACTAAGCTAGGGGGAGAGGTAGATATGCTGGAGGGCAGGGATAGGGTCCAGAGTGACCTAGACAGATTAGAGGATTGGACCAAAAGAAATCTGATGAGGTTCAACAAGTTCAAGTGCAGAGTCCTGCACTTGGGACGGAAGAATCCCAAGCATTGTTACAAGCTGGGAACTGAAGGGCTAAGTAGCAATTTGGTAGAAATGGACTTGGGGATTACAGAGGAAGAGAAGCTGGATATGAGTCAACAGGGTGCCCTTGTAGCCTAGAAGGCGAATGGAATATTAGGGTGCATTAGTAGGAGCATTGCCAGCAGATCTAGAGAAGTGATTATTCCTCTTTATTTGGCACTGGTGAGGCCACATCTGGAGTATTGTGTCCAATTTGCCCCCCCGCCCCATTACAGAAAGAAGGTGGATCCACTGGAGAAAGTGCAGCAGAGGGCAACCAAAATGATTAGGGGGCTGGAGCACATGACCTATGAGGAGAGGCTGAAGGGTTTGAGCTTATTTAGTCTGCAGAAGAGAAGAGTGAGGGGGGATTTGATAAGAGCCTTCAACTTCCTGAAGGGAGGTTCCAGAGAGGTTGGAGAGAGGCTGTTCTCAGTGGTGGCAGATGGCAGAACAAGGAGCAATGGTCTCAAGTTACAGTGGGAGAGGTCTAGGTTGGATATTAGGAAAAACTATTTCACTAGGGGCACGTCTAGACTACATTTTTCTTTTGAAAAAAGATAAGCAAATTCAGCACAAATTTGCATATCTTCC